CCAAGTCTCAGACCAGACTGCATGCCTAACGAACAGCTCGGAACACCCAGGTTCCCGTCGGCGGCGAGCGCGGGGAGGAAATGAGAAGCGGCGGGCCTTCTCAGAAGGCTCGGCAGTCCCCCGGCCTTCTGAGAAGTGTCCTGAGCCTTCCTCCTTCACACTTCCCCCCCTCGCTCGCCGCCGAAAGGAGGCGGAGGAGGAGGAGGAGGAGAAAGAGGAGGAGGAGGAGGTGGTGGAGGGGGAGGAGGGGGAGGACGGGGAGGAGGAGGGGGAGGAGCAGGGGGAGGAGGAGGAGGAGGAGCCCAGGCTCGCCGCCGATCCCAGCAGCCACTCTGGCCAGAGCAGCAGAAGCGCGGCGCGCGGCAAGAGCGGCCCGCCTGGATGACCGCGCGCCTGCGGCGGTGGCGCCAGGAGGGGGTGAGGGGGGGGCCACTCGTTGGAGGCCCGCTCCTGCGAGGAGGCAACGGGTTGAAGTCGGGCGTGCCCCCTTACAGCAGGAATATTTAAAAATAGTCAAACAATAGTCTGAGGACGATCTGTTCAGCATTGTTGCCTATTTTCGAATATGTTTGCTATTCACTTGAAACTATGTATATGTATATGTATATATATATATATAAATGGGTGTGTGTGTGTGTGTGTGTGTGTGTGGATTGTTCGTCCAAGATCTGCCTGCAGGGGGACATGCCCGACCTAACAACAGGCTGAAATCACAGGGCCAATCCTGGAAGCCCTGCACACAAAGATGCTGCCCTCTCTCTCTCGGGGGCGCACCCTGTAGTTCCGCCGGCTCCCGCTGGCGGAGGCAGCCTCGTTTTACTTCCGCCGTCCTCTCCGCAGTGACGAGCAGGATGGGACGCACAAGGACATACCAGTACTACACATCCTCCTCGGAGGCGTGCATCCGACCCACATATATAGTACAACCATCTTGTAGCACGTCGTTCCCCGAGCGCCACGGCCAGGAAGCGCCCGCAACGACGCATGTACTAGAGGATTTCTTGGCGCGCGCGTCGCCCCTGGGGGGGCGACGCATAAGTACTAGGTCGGGCATGTCCTCCTACAGGCAGATTTTGGAGCAAAAACAGCCCCCAAAAATGACCCAACATATGACAACATTGTAGAAACATCGTCCCCATATTATGTTTGACCATGTTTGAATTTTCCTCCTGTAGAGAAACAGGCCCGACTTCAACATCATTACTGGTATGTTGCGGTGACGCCGACAGGAGCCCGGCCACGTCACACGCATCCGGCTTCTTCGGGCACTCCTCGAGCCGTGCCCGCGCCCTGCTTCTCAGCCAGGCGCGCCCTGCCGATGCTGCAACTACGCCCAGTACGTTCCCTGCTCGCGGCGTCCAGGTCCTATCCGGGGCGCCTCATTTGACAGACGATAGGAGCCCGACCAACCACAAGAGACCTTCCACAAGAGACCCAACCCTGAGACCCCAGTCCACCGATTTTTGGTGTGGGAACGTCGCGCTTGCCACAGCAAAACCATCGAAACCCAAGAAACCCAGGGCACCCTGCAGGCAAGCAGGGTGCTTCTTGGCATGGGCCCCCACTGTACGCCCAACACGTTCCCTGCTCGTGGCAGTCGTGTCCTATCCGGGGCGCCTCGTTGACATAACCGCGGGATGCATCGAAAGGAGCGGGCCTCCGTGGGCGCGGGCAGATCGGGAGGGCAAGGGTGGCAGAAGGACGAGGAACTGCGAGACTGCAAACACCTCCAGATCGCTTCGACAACTCAAGGCGGCTGGCGCTCCCGAGTCAGACCCCCCCGGATGCTGGCTTCGGGCCCCCCGGGGCCCGCAGGCCACCGACCACGGCGCAAGATCCGGACGCAGGCAGGCGCCACGGGCTCGAACGACGTGGGATCTCTTGGGCCGCAGCGGCAGCGCAGCAGATTGAGGACCAAGCGGCGGGAAGCAACGGGGCCTCGCGCAGGCATGGCTCCCCTGGGCCGCTGGCCGCGGCACGGCACCGCAGAGCACGAGGGCGCCACACGCGCGTCCTCACGCGGGCTGCCCGCCCGCGCGCACGCCCGCACCGTCGACCGCGCCCTGGGGATCGAGAGGGTACCGGCAACGCTGCAGTAGACACATACGATCCGAATTTGTGCTACAAGAAATCTTGACGCACACTCTTCGTCGACCTGGGGGGGGGCCCTGGTGCGCCCCAGAGTTTCTGTAGGTCCCTGGGGCCATCGGGGGATGAGACAGTCTCGCGGGGCACCTGGTGAAAGTTTTCTTATTCGGTTTTTCGACATTGGGCGGAAGGGGGGGAGGGGGGGGAGTCTGGCTCCAGACCTCTGCTACGCGCGACTGTTTGCAACAGTGCGTCATACGGGGGAAGACTCCACCTGCTCGAAACAGGCGCCAAAAACAGCCAAGATCTGCTCCGCGGGGAGAGGAGGGGTAGGGGGTGCGAGGGCCCGCGCCGATCGGCACAACAATGAAGAAGAGAATGTTCACCGGCTGGCAGGCCGACTTCTTGTTTGACATTTGGCGGCGAGCGAGGGGGAGAAATGAGAAGGAGAAGGCCTCCTCAGAAGGCGGCGGGACTTCTCAGAAGCCCTCGCTTCTGAGATTTGTTTTTTTTCTCGTCGGGGAAGGCTTCGAAGACTTTTCAGAAGGCTGGGGGGACTTCCGTGCCTTCTCAGAAGGCCCGCCCCTGCTCACTTCCCCCCTGGGCGCGCCGCCGAAAGGCTGGCTGCAGAAGGGCGAACATGGAGCGAGAAAAGCTGGCATGAGCACAAGCTGTCGACGGTGAGCGCGGACTTCTTGGATCTAGAAAAGGGAAAAACGCCATAAACATAAACTTTTGGCGCTCCGCACGATTTTCTGGGATCCGCGAAATCCGCGCGGAGCGCCAAAAGTTTATGCTCATGGCGTTTTTCCTTCCTCGACGATCGGCGCTGGGCCCCACAAAAAAAAGCAGGCACCGCCCAAGCCCAGGACGGGCTCGTCAGACAGCGCCGCTAGCGCACGAGCTCCGGCGAACTCGAGTCTTGCGTCTCACCGACGCGAAAGAGGCGATACGAGAGCGCCCACCGGGGACCTTCTGACCCGGGTCAAGCCAGACCCGCGTCAGTCAGGCCTTGCAGAATCCTGCAAGACCCTGCGCCCAAGCCCGGGTCAGTGCAAAGGGCATCCTGCAGGAGCATGCAGGATCTTGCACCAAAGCCCAGGTCAGTGCGACCCTGGCCGCCCTGCAGGATCCTGCAAGATCGGGGTCTCTGGCTGAACTTATGTTGCTCCCATCGTACGTAAGGACCACACCCCAGTAAGAATCTCGAACACCCAGAACAGTATCGAAACAATGCCGAACGAGTATCGATTGCACCAAATTAATTGCACCACCCCCTTGTCGCTGGACCCCCTTTTGGGTCAACCCGATCCCCCCTGGGCTATTCGCCCCTATCTTCGCCTCTGATGATGAGTCGGAACCCCCGCTTGCATTGGCCCCCGTCGCGAGGCTCTCCCGACCCGCGCTGGCCTCGCCGCCGCCGGCCCTCCTCGCCCCCTCCTTTGGGACGCAGAGAGACATACTGATACTTTATGTTTTTTTGTCCACGGCAAACGAGCCCCCAAACAGCATGTGCCACACCACGTCGTCCCGCACAAACGGAACCACCACAGCGGCGGCCACGTCGTTCCGCACAAACGTAACCAACACGGCGGTGGCAGCTGCGGATTACCATACTGATACTATATGTCCTCCTTGGAGGCGCGCGTCCGGCCCGAACATCTAGTGTACCCATCCTGCAGTATATCGTCTCTCGAGCGGTGTGGCCAGCAAGCGCCCACCACGACGCATATACTACAAGATTTCTCGGTGCGCGCGTCGCCCCTGGAGGGGCGACGCACACATAGTATTAGTATGTTGGGATGATGCCGCGCCCCTCGTCGTCGCCACGGGCGCGCGGAGCGCACCAGGAGCGGCGCCGGGGGGCGCCGCTGCCGGAGAGGGGCCCGGCGCAGATGTCCAAGCATTCCGCGCCGAGCTCCGAAAGTGTGTGATTATGCTTAGGTCGGGCGTGTCCTCCTACGGGCGGAGTTTTTAGGAGAAATCAAAAATTGTCAAAGAACAATGTGCAACAATAGTCAAACATAATTTGGACAGATCGTCCCCGGACTATGTTTTGATTATTCTTGAATATTCCTCCTGTAGGGGGACAGGCCAGCCTTACGATTATGCCGCTCTTTCTTCCAGTGCTCGACAAAAGCATGCTCCAAGAGGGCGCCAACGAGAAAAGAGCGCATTGGCATCAGCGTGTGTTCTCTCCTCTGTCGGCGGGGAGCGAGGGGGGAAATGAGAAGGGGCGGGCCTTCTCAGAAGGCTCGGAAGTCCCCTGGCCTTCCCCGACGAGAAAAAATCAAATCTCAGAAGCGAGGGCTTCTGAGAAGTCCCGCCGCCTTCTGAGGAGGCCTTCTCCTTCTCATTTCTCCCCCTCGCTCGCCGCCAAATGTCAAACAAGAAGTCGGCCTGCCAGCCGGTGAACGTTCTCTTCTTCATTGTTGTGCCGATCGGCGCGGGCCCTCGCACCCCCTACCCCTCCTCTCCCCGCGGAGCAGATCTTGGCTGTTTTTGGCGCCTGTTTCGAGCAGGTGGAGTCTTCCCCCGTATGACGCACTGTTGCAAACAGTCGCGCGTAGCAGAGGTCTGGAGCCAGACTCCCCCCCCTCCCCCCCTTCCGCCCAATGTCGAAAAACCGAATAAGAAAACTTTCACCAGGTGCCCCGCGAGACTGTCTCATCCCCCGATGGCCCCAGGGACCTACAGAAACTCTGGGGCGCACCAGGGCCCCCCCCCAGGTCGACGAAGAGTGTGCGTCAAGATTTCTTGTAGCACAAATTCGGATCGTATGTGTCTACTGCAGCGTTGCCGGTACCCTCTCGATCCCCAGGGCGCGGTCGACGGTGCGGGCGTGCGCGCGGGCGGGCAGCCCGCGTGAGGACGCGCGTGTGGCGCCCTCGTGCTCTGCGGTGCCGTGCCGCGGCCAGCGGCCCAGGGGAGCCATGCCTGCGCGAGGCCCCGTTGCTTCCCGCCGCTTGGTCCTCAATCTGCTGCGCTGCCGCTGCGGCCCAAGAGATCCCACGTCGTTCGAGCCCGTGGCGCCTGCCTGCGTCCGGATCTTGCGCCGTGGTCGGTGGCCTGCGGGCCCCGGGGGGCCCGAAGCCAGCATCCGGGGGGGTCTGACTCGGGAGCGCCAGCCGCCTTGAGTTGTCGAAGCGATCTGGAGGTGTTTGCAGTCTCGCAGTTCCTCGTCCTTCTGCCACCCTTGCCCTCCCGATCTGCCCGCGCCCACGGAGGCCCGCTCCTTTCGATGCATCCCGCGGTTATGTCAACGAGGCGCCCCGGATAGGACACGACTGCCACGAGCAGGGAACGTGTTGGGCGTACAGGTCGGGCACGTCCCCCTACAGGCGGATTTTGTAGAAAAAGTTTGAATATTAAAAAGAATATGTAAAAAAACAAAAAAAAAAAAACAACTCAAAAAAATCGTCACCAGACTATTTTTTACAACTTTTGAAGATTCCTCCTTAGAGGGGCATGCCCGACATAAATCTTGCGCCGTGGTCTCTCGGGGGCGGCCAAGAGGGGGGCGTCCAAGAGGGGGGGGCGCAAATCATGGCCGGAGGCATGTGCGCGGCCCCAGGGGGGGGCCCGGGACGCAACGAGGTAAGAAGAGGCGCCATGAAATCTGAGGAAACATCATGGCCCACGCCATGATACCCACCCACCCTAGTCATCACCCCCGTCTTTGCCGCCCCAGAGTCTCACTTGCTCGCCGCCGACGCTGGGCCCCCCCCGCGCGCAGCCACCCGCCCCCCCCCGGGGGTGGATAGTTATGGGGCGCCGCGTGCGCTCGGCCCCGCAGGGTTATGATGTTCCGAACCTACTTTGGCCTTGACCACCAAGAAGAATTCCGTGCGCCAAGAAAGTACCGAAACTTGAGGGTTTTTACGTGTCGGGCCCTGGGAGGCGATGCTCGTTCGACATTGTTTCGATACTGTTCTGGGTGCTCGAGATTCTTTCGGGGGTGTGGTCCTTAAGCCGTAAGTGCGATGGGAACTCCGCGCACCCCCCCCGGATGGGCGGAGGGGGGGCCCCTTGCGGCGCGCACCGGCACACGGGGGTGGGTCCACGCCAGGCGCGCGGGCTATTAGGTCGGGCATGTCCTCCTGCAGGCGGATCTTGGACGACACACTAAGAGTACCCCAAAATAGTCGAAACATCGTCACCAGACTATTTGTTTTGACTCTTCTTGAGACTTCCTCCTGCAGCGGGACAGGACCGACTTTGGCGCAGTCACGGGGCGCACGGGCGGCGCACCAGGCCACGAGCCGGTCTCTGGCAGGGGAACGAGCAGGGACATGAACGCAAAAACTCCGAGGTGCGCGCGGAGTTCTCGGATCGGCGCTGGGCCGCCCTCCCTGGCGCGCGAAGCGCGCCAGGGGCGGCGACGGAGGCGCCGCCAGGGGGGGGCCCCAGCGCCGATCCGAGAAATCCGCGCGGACCTTCGAGTTTGTATGTTCATGTCATTGTTCGTTCCCGTATCTGGGAGCCCCTCGGATCCTGGCGCTACAATTTTTCACAGCGGGACTGCTTGCCCTGCTGTGAGCCCAGGAATCGCCTCAGCAGGGTCGGGGGCCTCCACGAGAGACCCTGGGAAGGCCAAAGCATCCCCCCCCCTCAGAAAGCCACCCCTTGCCCCACTCGGGCACGGATCAGGGAACCGTGGATCTGGCGCCTGGGCGCCTGACTCACGGATTGGGGAGAATATGCCCGAAACATGGGCGACGAAAAGGCGTGTGCCTTACGCGAGATGACGCAGCGACCTTGCGCCGCGGCTTGCGCGGGCCGCCAACGCGGCAAACCACATTGGAAACGAGGGCAGATTACGCGCCAACGTCCGTGCAAACGAAAACGTTTTTCTGGGCCGCTCAGATGACACCGCACAGGGCCGCCGCCGCCGCCGCCGAGGAGCGGCGGGCGGCGGAGATACAGGCCTCGGAAGAAATTAGCAAACACTCGTGCCGCTTTCATCAGCCAATGCCCCCCTCCCCACAGGCCTCGCAAGAAATTAGCGAACGCTCATGCCGCATTCATCGATCAATGCCCCCCCAATGATCAATGTTGGCGGTGGGTTGAATGAGCTGCACTTCGACCGCAGTCTTCCCCGCGCGTGCCAACTTTGAGTTTGGGGGAGTGGGGGGGTGTCCACTACTTGTTTCCCTCTACAATATTACCACCAACACTAGAACAAGGACCATCTTTCCATGTTGGAGACGCGCCCCTGTCTTGGTGTTGATGCCAATCTCCAAGCCTCCAATTGCAGGTGACAAGCAGCACGGGGGGACCACTCGGGTTGCCTACGGCAGGTTCGTGTCGTGACGACTTCGGCTTTTGTTTTTTGACACCGCGTGGATCGCTGGACCCTGAACGATCGCGGCGTTCCGAGAGCGTGGAGCGCTTGGGATCAGCCGACTGACCTAGGCTGCGGCTACAGCATGCTGGCGCTCTAAAAAAAACAGATGCTGCAAGCGCTGCAAATCGGACACGTCTGAACACACTGCACACGACCAAACACCCCTGCCACACAGGTAAAGAGCACATGCAACATGCGCGACAGGCAGATGCAATCTTGCCATGACGAGCCCGAAACAAGAAATGGCAATACCTCTTTCAAGTCATGTTGCGGTTCTCTGCTGGCCCCAAGTGGAGATCCTGAGGAATGCCGATTCCATTGCCAGTCAGTGGCGTTCCTGGTTTCGACTTCACGATTGAGCAAGTGTAATGGCTGCTCCCCGCGGGTCCGGCACGAAAAGCAGCAATACAAAAATTGCGATACAGCCAAGCCTGGTACTGTGTAAACGTTCGTGGGCGAAGCTCTCGCGGGTGAAGGTCAGCGCAAACGGATCGTATCTGAAGAAGCCCATCGGTACGTACGGGTTCTGTATCATGGCGCTTTCCTGCGAATTTCGCAGCGGACCTCTGCCTCTGCACGCTTCCTTGCCATGTTCCCCCGCCGTCCAGGAGTCGCTGCTGTTTATGCTTTTAATCGCACTACTCCCCCCCCACCTCTCTCGCCTGTTTTTCGTCTCACCGGCTTCCACCCTCCACCACTGCTGCCGTTGCTGCTTCTCCTTCCAAGCATGCAAGACCACAGCACAGACGAAGGACCGCACGATAAATAACACCGCATGCTCATGCGATGCATCCTCCCAGCTGTTGGCTGAGTTGTTCCAAATGCGTGCGAGCGAGGTCGTCCTCCTCATTATCATCCTAGTTCCTACTCCTTCCCCTCCCTTCTCCCTCTCTCTCCCCCTCCTCCTTCCCATCAACTCCGCCCCCTCGCTCCTCCTCCTCCTCCTCCTCCTCCTCCTCCTCAACCTCCTCTGCACGCCCAGGAGGAGCGTTGGCTGCACGGCTCCGGATGCCGTGCAACGGCCGAGGAGGACCCTGCCACGCCGCCTGCAGCCACAGCATGTGTGCCGCAGAGTTCCCGAGAAGGCTCTTTTGAAATGTGTTTGGAGGATTCCTCCTGAAAGCCTTACCAGAACCTTCCTCGGGAAGGTTTCTGGAAGGTGTTTTGGAGGACCCCTCCTAAAAACCTTCCTCAGGAAGGTTTGTTGGGAGGACGCCAGAGCACACCCAGGAGGAGCGGGAGCTGCACACGGCGCTGGAGCGCAACGCCGCCCTCGCGATGCAACACGACTCGTTGCGGGACTCGCTGCGGGACCCTTCGGCGCGCCGTGCTTGACCCGGAGGACAATGGCACGCCGCAGTGCCTGAGGCGGGCGTTCGAGCAGGTCGTTGGGAGCAAGCTCGGTGGAGCCATCCAGGGGAAGCTCAAGCAGGAGGCATGATGCGAGGCTGGGATTTATCCACATCCGCCGCCTGGGAATCAAGGTCCTGGTGCCCCAGCGGGCGGCGGATACGGACATGTGTTGGCCCCCAAGGGCCACAAGATATATCCATATCCATCGCCCGCCGAGGTCCCCGAAGATTGATCCTCCAGGCGGTGGACAGGTATAAATTCCCGCCTCGGAAAACGACGCATGTGATGGGCCGATTTTCCACCACCACTACCATATGTAGGAGATGGAGGAGGAGGAACTCCCCATCCTCCCCTTTCCTCCGTCCTGCCTGTGGTAGTGGTGGTCCCAGACATGCGACGTCCTGATGTTTGCAGGACGGCGTCCCCGAAAGTCCAGGCCATTTCCCCGGGACCAGCTTTTTATCCTGAGCCGTGTTTTGACGGTCCCGAGGCCCGGCGAGGGCCCCCCGAGGCCGCAATTGGCCAAACATCTCCCGTCCTTCTTTGTTGTACGACGCGATCGTGTCAGGGGTGGAGAATTGGCCCATCACCACGTCGGGCAGGAGGGCCAGCAGGGCGCTCGCCAGACGTAGTCGCGCAGGGCAGGCCCGGAGAGGCTGCTCCGCGAGAGAGGCCACGGGCCCCGCAGTCCTGGGCGGGGGGCGCCGCTGCTGCAGCCTCCATTGGGTGCTTCGGCGTCGCGTTGCCACGGTTAGGACTCGGCTCCTCCTCCTCCTCCTCCATCCTCCTCCCTCCTCCTCCTCCTCCTCCTCCTCCTCCTCCTCCTCCTCCTCCTCTCCTCCTCCTCCTCCTCCTCCTCCTGCTCCTCCTCCTCCTCCTCCTCCTCTCCTCCTCCTCCCTCCTCCTCCTCCTCCTCCCCTTCTCCTCCCCTTCTCCTCCCTTCTCCTCCCCTTCTCCTCCCCTCTCTCCCCCTTCTCCTCCCTTCTCCTCCCTCTCCTCCCCTTCTCCTCCTCCTCCTCCTCCTCCTCCTCCTCCTCCCTCCTCCTCCTCCTCCTCTCTCCTCCTCCCTCCCTCCTCCACCTCCTCCTCCTCCTCCTCCTCCTCCTCCACCTCCTCTTCCTCCTCCACCTCCTCCTCCCTATTCTCCTCCTCCCTATTCTCCTCCTCCGCTTCGGCGTCGCCGCGGTTGGACTCGGCTTGGAAAGTTGGTGCGGCCACCTCCCAGACCAGCGGGCATGCCCTCCTACACATCGGACTTTTGGACGAAACACGAAACAATGTCAAAACATACATAGTCCATAAATAATAAGAAGATCGTCCCAAGACTATTGTTTGTCTGTTATTGAACATTCCTCCTGTAGAGGGACATGTCCGACAAACGCGTGGGTGCTTCGGCGTCGCCACGGTTGGACTCGGCTTGGAAAGTTGGCGCGACCACCTCCCAGACCACCCCAACCCAACCCGAAAGCCCGAATTTCGGGTTGGGGGGGTGGACAGGCTGCATGTTGTTGTTTTCAATGTTCCCAGATCCCCCTCCACTGGAAGTGGAGGGCACATCGAGGCCTCCGAGTTGGGTTGGGGTGGTTTGGTGGGCGGTGACATATCCACTGCTGCTGGGTCGTGTTCCGAGGACTCGGGGAGCGGCGGATGTGGAGTTAACTGCCCGCCAGCGAGGGCGGGCAGATGTCCATGTTCACCGCACCTCGAGATCCCAGGGCACGGCTCCGCAGCGGTGGATGTGGACAGATTCTGGCGGTGGAGTTTTCCTCTTCCTCCTCCTCCTCCTCCTCCTCCTCCTCCTCCTCCTCCTCCTCCTCCTCCTGCTCCTCTCCCTCCTCCTCCTCCTCCTCCTCCTCCTCCTCCTCCTCCTGCTCCTCTCCCTCCTCCTCCTCCTCCCCCTCCCCCTCCTCCTCCTCCCCCTCCTCCTCCTCTGGGGGAGCTGCCCGGAAGCTTGGGCCGGCCAGCGGGTCGAGCCGTGATGCCCCTGGGCCACGCGCAGGCCCCGAGGCCATATCCAGCATGCCCAGCTCGTCGCAGCTTTCGGCTCCGCAGAGCGGGGGCCCGCCCTGTGTGGCGCAGCGCAGCTGACCGCAGCGCAGCTGACCAGGCCTGCATGCCCTCAGCCAGCAGCATCCTACCTCCTCCCCTCCCCTCTCCCCCTCCCCTCCCCCCCCCCCTCCCCTCCCCTCCCTCCCTCCCCCCTCCCCCTCCCCTCCCCCTTCCCCTCCGACATCCTCGCTCTTCTGCTTCCTCCTTCGCTCTCATCCTCCCGCTGCTTGATTTCATGCTCTTCCCAGTGAATCCCCCTCTTCCACTGCATGGCATCTTGCAGCGCTGCAATTGCCCATCGAACGTTCGAAGGTCTTCTCGAAGATGCGCTGCCCCAGAAAGAGGTTGGTTCTGGATGTCCACAACTATGACTTCGACATCTCGCCTTACCCAAATTAAAAAACGAACGGCCTTCGGTTTTCCAGTGTCGTCCGGGATAAGGTCAATGCTCCTGATCTCCTCGTACCCCTTTTCTTTCTTATCATCCTGCCTCCTCGTGCTGCTGTTGTGAGGACAGAACCGTGCCCATTATCTCCCGTATTCTCTTCCATCCTCATCCTCTCCCCTCCTCGCATTTAATCACATCACCCGAAAATGCAAATGTCCAAGTGGAACCGGCCATCGCACACAAAAACCACCGCGTCAGTCGATGCCTCGCGCCCAACGCTGCTATTGCGCAAATGCTTCCTGCGCTATCTCCATGCGCCCCCACCTCAAACATTCCATAGCCCTGCGCTACAGCCATGAACCACAACGAGCTCTGTCTGTCCCTCTTCCTCTCTCTCTCTATGTTTCTGTCTCTATAACTCCCCACCTAGAGATACGTCACCGTAACAACGTCTCACCGTGCTCTTCGCGCGGGGTCACTTTGTGTTCCACCCACGCACCGTCGACATTCCTACCATGAGCCCATCAAGCCATGTAGTCGCGACACGTGGCAAAATCATTGTCAGAACCTGCGCGACACAGCGACACGAAACACTACTTATGATAACTCCGACGGCTGAGACATTGTTTTTATACCCCCGCTTTGCCGGAATCAGAATCTGCCTGGCGATGGCCCCATCCATTAGCAACTTCATGTAAAGCTGGTGATGTGTCTCTCGATGCGCGCAGTTCCCTGGGGCCGTAGGGGGGGCCACCTGCGACGGCTCGAAGATTGTGAAGGTGTGCCGAGATGGGCGGGGGAACGGCAAGCAACCACACCCCGTGGGGGCTTCGATGGAGCTCCTTATAGGGCCACGGATCATGATGCGTGCAATTCCTTGGGGAGGGAAAGGAGGAGAGGAACGGACAAAAATCAACCGCGACTCGTGCCAGGGGCCCATGGGCATCAGGCCGCACAGCTGTCCTGCAAACGCGGCTACAACCCTGGCCAGAACGTCGTGCAGACAAACGATTCTGAAACAGGAAAGAAGAAAAAAGGGAACCTGAGCATGATCAGGTCTGGCCTCCCCCAAAAAAACAATACAAAACAACTCACCGTGCACTGGATAAGGGGAACTCCGAACAGCCCCGTGTCGGGCCTGCTTCTCGGCCCAACTGAAAATTTGGGCCAACGTCCTAATCGGATGTCCTTAAATATTCGGTACCCGCGGGTGTGGTTTTCCAATCGCATTCAGTATGTAGGTTGAGGCCGCTTGCTGGCAAAACGACCGCAAGCTCCACAGAACCAGCGCCCAACTTAGTACACAGGATCATGCTATGGCCGGTTTGATGGACGCATTCCCCCCTTTTCTGTGGACACGATCACTAGCCCCGAGGGTGTGAAACGACCCGCTCAGGTTACGAAGGTGGAAACGCGGGCTGGCCTTCCAAAGGCCCGCGGTCGCCAGGGTCGTGTTCCCGAAACACCTGGAACAACGACGGCCACACTCTTCCGAAACATGGGAAATCGAAAAGTTATCCACTACAGACAGTGCGGGACGAGGAGGGGTGGGACAAGAATGAGCACGCTTGCCGTTCACTGCCCCCGTGGGCCCTGCGCCCGCGTAAACACTGTCAAGAACCGCATGTAGGAGCCGACGCCGCACAATAGATGCATCACTGTCGACATGAAGGCTCCGAACAACAATCTGGTGCATGACGCACTTCTTGACCCGTCTGGCATGCACTTTCGTCAATCACCGCATTGTCAGAAATTCTGTCAGCAGGGTACTCTCCCTGCCAGCAGATCCGCAGGGCCCTGATGTGAGCGAGAAGAAATAGCACCGAACAGCTGAGGGTCTTTGGATTCTGACGCCTGTCCAATCATCGCCCACCGGTCTGCGTTGATACCTGATGGTCGAAGATACGGCCGACTCTCCCAGTCACGATGCGCACTCTCGCAGTCGGTGATGCACTGGATGCGCCCGCTGCACGTAGGCACGCACAACAAGCAAGCTTTCAGATCACCGCGGGCCACGACTTGTCGTGAGCCCACTTGACCCTCAGCTATTACGCGGACGACCTCCATGTCGTGGGGGCTGCTGACCACTGCGTTTCCCAACGCAACTCGACGCAGTCTGGGGTCCTTCGTGTGTGGGGCTCTCAGAAATGCCAGTGGGCAAGGAATCATGAAGAACTCCCGTGGGGATACCATCACGAACCCAATCGTCCGCAGCGGAGGAAGCGGTGCAGATGTCAACTCCGATGGGATAGAGGCTCGGAACCAGTAGCATGGTTACGCATCACGTTGGCTGCATGCCTGTGGGATAAAGTAGTCACTCCGCTGATAAAGTACACTGCCAGTATTGCAACGGCAAGACGAATTCTGGTGATGTGATGACTCCTCCCTCATCACCGCATCGGCCACTAACATCATTCATTGTGGGATTCTGGGCAAGCCCAACTGGCATCTTCTAGTGCTCGCATTGCCGAACGTCAATCCAAGCTCCAGCAGTGGCCTGATTGAGCATCAATCCTGCCGATCGGCGACCCTTCCCCAGAGCGGCTGCAATTGCTTGATCAGTCTTCGATGTGAACACCTGTCGGTACACTGGGCCAAGCCAATACCATCGGAAAAATTGCGTGAATTCGCCCAGCCAGGGGCCATCGCATCTGGCTTGGGATCAGCGCAGCAATCTTGGGAACTGGCATCGCCGATAGCCTCGGTGCCGGTGAAATCCCGCTGGCAATTCCAAACGCGTCGGCCCTGCCCTCCCAGCAATCGGCGACCTCGGCGCCCGTCCCACGCCCAACAAATTACAGAGAACTGCCGACAACGGTAGGTAACGTCCACGGAGGTCACGGCTCCTCTGGGCGCGGGGTGAGGCCTCCAACTTCTGGCGGACCTTCGGCCGCGCCCGAATGATGTCCGCTCGGAACTCAGGCTGTGACCTCCAGGTGCTCAACCAAGGTGCAAACGCCCCATGGATAGACTTGGCCGCTGGATCCAATCCGTCAGCCTCCAACTCCAATGGCGCGGTCAAGTGTCGCCCCTTGGCCACGGCACTGCAAGCTGCTCCCAGCCGGCGGCGATACTGAACCAACTCCTGGCCCATGGCCCCGAAGAGCCAGCACCCATAGCTTCCTGCTGATTGCGCCCCTTGCCTGACAAGCCGATAGGTTGCGACGGCGGGCCTGGTCGTCCTCGCACACTCGACGACCTCGCGGTGCCTGGCGACGCGTTTGGCGCCCCATTTGACCCGCTGCTCCCGTCCATGCTGGACTCCACTTACAAGATCGACGCCGAGGTAGCTGGCGTTTCTCGCCGCCATCGTAGCGGCCCCGCGCTAGCGCAGGGCTCGAACCATTTCTAGCCAAACTGATGTGCAACGCTTGCAATGCGCATCGCCAATGACTGCGATGGCGTCTAAAGGCCTTCCACCCTTAAGCCCTTGGCCGCTGCGCCCAAACACTGGATGAAATCCTTCCTGGCACGCGCCCCTGGCCTGTTTGTAGACGGCGAGAGGTAATCCGCAGACGATGGCTGCGCCGCACGCTGGCCGTGCACATCTGTTCCACAATGGAATATGCCATGGCACCAGTGATTCTCGCGCCCGCTCGAAGGCCCTGCATGTTACTGCACATTGGCTCGAAGCCACCACAAACGCTCCAATCTGTTGAAGATAGCGAGGACGCGAGCATTGAAGTGGTTCAAGGTGGAAAATCGCATATGAAAGCTCGAATCGGAGAGCCTCTCGGGTCAACTCGAGCCACAACATGTCATCGTAACATCCGTCTATGTCGGCCAGCGCGCGGCCGCGGGATACTCCAAGTGCCCCAGACACTGCCTCCTCTGAGACCCTCGTGAAGGCCTCGCACAACGACGAGTTCCCCCGCTTGGCGGCACACCAATGGGGCTCGGCCCGCGCGGGCCAAGATTTGACCCCAGGCTCCCCGGATACGCTCCAAGCCCGAGACGCCATGCAGATTGGGCCAATCACGCTGTTACCCGACAACCTTCTCGGGAATAGACTGCCCATCGCGAGCATTGTTTGCGCCGGCCACGCCGACGCACTTCCCATACATTCGAAGAGAGGTGTCAGTTCGGTCACGCCCTTGTCGGGCAGCCGCTCCATATCGCAGGGCGCGAGGCGGTCGAAGCCCAGCCCTGCAAAAGGCTTCATGCCCCCCAGGGCCTGACGAACATCTGGAACTTCCAGCTGGGAACGGGGCTCAGGGCCATCTCTGACGGCCTGCCTAATAACGCTCAGGACGTCCACGAAATGCTCGATGGGGTGGTTACGGAGCCTGGGGCTACCCATGCCTGAACAACTGTGCTTATTATCCGTCTTGCTGTCCTTCTTGAAGGAGGGCCTGTCGTTGTCACTCCCTGGAGCCATGGCAGGAAAGACTTGGATGACACGCGTGATATCTGCAATGAGCAACTGCGTCCGCAGAAGATGGAAATACCTCAGTCGACCAGCTGCCGCGAGTGCAGGCACCATAGGTGACATTATAGGTGCGAGCGAAACAAGCAGCTCACTGAGGGGATCGAGCGGATGGTACGTTCATCCGAGAATCTTGCATGTTGAGCCAAAGCGGCTACGGAGGAGAAGAAGAGAAGGAAAAGGAGGAGAGGAACGGACGAAGATGAAACAGGGATCAATCAACAGCTGGGGCGACGGCTTGCAAGAGAAACCTATTAGAAACCATCCTGTGGAGGGTGTGCCAAAATTGGCTGAGGGGACCGCGGGCCTCAAATCTTGAGAGGGGTGTGCCGACATGGACTGGGGGACCGCATGCGGCCACATCGCCTGGAGGCTTCCGTGGAGCTGCTCACGGGACCACGTGAGCGGTCTGCCAAAATGGGCGGGTGGACCGCAGGTGGCCACGCAGCCTGGGGGCTTCGGTGGTGATGCAGATGGGGCCACGGGGCGTGTGAGGGGTCTGCCGACATGGACGGGGTACTGCAGGCGGACCCACCCTCCCGGGGCTTCGGTGGGGCTGGCTACGGGGTCACGAGGCGTGTGGGGGTGTGCCGACATGGGCCGGGGGGCACATGCGGCCACATCGACCGCATGCGGGCGTCGGTTGTGCTTCTGATGGGGCCACGAAGCGTGTGAGGGGTGTGCCCCGATTGGGGTGCGGAGGGTGGACGGACGGATGGGGCAGCGAGGGGTTCGACGCGGCGCTGCGGATTCAGAACGAGGACCCAACACCACAGGATGGTTGGGAAATACGAGTCGGTGCAAAACGTGCTGAAAGGAACACCTCGGAAAAAGGAGCATGAAGACGCTACAGGCCTGCTCAAGCGAGCCAACGCAGAAAGACATCGTGGTGCGTGTGTGTGTGTGCGTGTGTGTGTGTGTGTGCCATGTCTCCCCAATTAGTGCTTTGCGCGGCCCGCCTAGCTCTTAATCGGAAGAGGCCCGCTCTCGAACCGCCGACCAAAAAAGTGTGTGTGTGTGTGCGTGTGTGTGTGTGTGCGTGTGTGTGTGTGTGTGTGTGTGTGGGTGGGGGGGGGTGCGCGCGCATTCGGGGGCACCATTGCCTGCAGGACGTGCCAACCTCAACTGGGAACCATGTTGGAAACTTGCAAAAACAGCAAGCAGCATGGTAGACCCAACTCTCCCCCTGCAGATCGGCTACCATTCCTCCTTCGCCACATCTCCCTTGCTCCCCACGCAGCCTCGACCTTGGGCGAAGTGCAGCCCAGCACCTCTGCGCTGAGGCGAGACACGAATTGGATGGACAATGACGGGTGTCTTTTGAGAGAGGAGGGAAGGCAGAGAGGATCTGCTACACGGAAAGAGTGCCCCTAGGAAGTAATCACACTTTGGTGATGACTCTTTGGTGCACGACTAGCCGGTCGTTGCAGCGACGCGGCACTATCGGTCTGCATCCCAGGGTCTGGTCCCCCGCGCCCATCGAAAGCCGCGCACCAAAAACCAACTCTGGAAACGGGCCACTTCTGCGGTGTAGTCGAGCGATCCCCGCAACGATCCTCTGTGACTGCTCTGGGGCTTACAAGTACCCGTTGGATGCCTTGATCTCATCTTCGGGGCTGCCACCAGCGGCTGAAGTACCCACAGGAGCCCGCGGCAACAGCCCGCTCCTCACCTGCCCCTTATCTCCGCCTTCCTCCTCCTCTGCCTCCGCTTCCATGCAGAACATGCGTTGCTCTTTTCTCTTCCTATGCGTCCTCCTCCTCCTCCATCTTATTTTCCACTCCCTCCCCCTCCCCTTCCCTCTACCCCCTCCCATTCGCTTTTCCCTCACGGTGCTTCCCTTTTGCAG